ACCCTAGATGGGTTTAGGGCTGGCCGCCACCCCTAGGGGTGGAAACCTAGGTGGGGGCGCAGCCCCTCCCTTTCCCCTATATTAGTGGGGTTTTGGGCTGCCATACACACGAGAACATCTCCTTCTTGGCGCAGCCCTACCCCTCTCCCTCCTCGTCTCTTGCAGTGCTTGGCGAAGCCCTGCTGGAGTACCACGCTCCTCCACCACCACCACGCCGTTGTGCTGCTGCTGGATGGAGTCTTCCCCAACCTCTCCTTCTCCCCTTGCTGGATCAAGGCGTAGGAGACGTCACCGGGTTGTACGTGTGTTGAACACGAAGGTGTCGTCTGTTCGGCACTTGGATCATCGGTGATTTGGATCACGACGAGTACGACTCCATCAACCCCGTTCACTTGAACGCTTCCGCTTAGCGATCTACAAGGGTATGTAGATGCACTCTCCTTCCCCTCGTTGCTAGATTACTCCATAGATTGACCTTGGTGATGCGTAGAAAATTTTGAATTTCTGCTACGTTCCCCAACAAAATAGCCCGAATTACTAGGAACCGGAGAGGTCCACACATCGCTATGAATCAACTGAAAAGGAAAAGAAGCTATGGTGGTGGAGTTATTAAACGGGAGACGAACATGTTTGCCAACACGACAGGCATGACAGGTGTGATCCTCTATCTTATGGCAACTGAAACTGAAACTCCTAAGAATATGACGAAGTGTGACGGGGTTGGGATGACCCAAACGAGCGTGCCAGAGATCGACGCCGGCGGAGAGAGCAACCGGTGAGGTGGAGGAGGTGGACGACGAATGCACCAGATAGAGCTCGTCGAGGCTGTCACATCGGTGAAGTACCATCCTGGTTCGAGCGTCCTTGACACAAAACCCAAGCTCGTCAAATTCAACAGTAACAGAATTTTCATGAGTTAAACGATGAACGGAAACAAGGTTCTTAATAAGATGAGGTGATACAAGTATGTTAGACAAAGTAATGGGCATGGAATTGGATGGAAAAGAAGTGTGCCCGACATGTGTGATAGGGAGTGTGGAACCGTCGCCAACAATGATGCGGCGGTCGGTGGTGACGGGAGTGAAGGAGGCAAGATTACTAGGATGAGCAAACATGTGAGCCGTAGCCCCGGTGTCCATGTACCAATCAACACCTGGGTGTAGTTGTTTGACATAGGAGCGACATGTAGTGCGGGAAGGAGCACCGGGTCCCAGGGCACCGGCGGCAGGGCCGACGAGGGGGACAGAGACGCCATTGGGAGTCCATAGCCACCGCTTGGCAGCGGTGGTGGGTACTCTCCAAACGATATGGGAAGCAGCCCTAACTGCGAATGCGGTGCCGGGTAGGCCGGATGGCCCGCCGGAAAATCCTGCTGGCCCGCTAACAGATGCTGCAGGTGCGGGGCGCCGTCTGGCTGCAGCCCAGCGGGCGAGTGTTGGCCTGCTGACGACCCCCAACAGTACCCGGGAGCCTCATAGACGGGCGCGTCGAACACCTCACGCAACAACAAAGGGTTGACGGGCAGAGTCGGAGCCGACGACGAGGCGCTAACGTACGCCAGTGGGTGCAGCGGAGCCGAGCCGGGCGGCAAGTCGGGATGGGCTGGCGGGGCGACGCCGGATGCGCCAGAGCTGGCGGCCATGCCGTAGGGCGCCAGCGGCGGGACGACAAAGGACGCCATCGCGTCTGGCAGACGGCCGAAGTGGAGCGCGCGCGGGGGAGATGCCGCCTGGCGGGCGATACACGCGGCAGCAGCGACCTGGCAATGCGCGTGGCTAGCGAGGCGCGAAGGGCGGGCGATGGACGGGAGCTGCGGATGGGATGGCTCGGGCTGAAGTGCTCCTGCGGATATGTGCTATGTGCACAAACGACCAAGACGGGAACAAAAGCGGGTTTCCAGATCTTGAGACGAGGCTTCAATAGATCAAGTGGAACTCGTAATAAAGGAATCAACAAATCCACGTGATTCTGATCACCGGCGGACCTGCGGATAGCAGCAGCACGCAGACCTGTGGATGAGACGGGACAGCCCGTGGCGCAAGAGCGGGACCTGCCATGGTGAAGGCACCGGAGAGCAGCGTCGGTCAAGAGAAGAAGCGTGGCGGCCGGCGGCTGGAGACTGTGGGCAGGCGGAAGGATCGGGTAGAAGCGGCGGCGGCGAGGCGGCGGCGGCGGCATGGAGGAGACGCGCGGCGGCGGCGGGGCAGAGGAGACGTGCGACAGCAACGGCGGCGCGAAGGAGACGCGCGGCGGCAACGACGGCGGATGTGGAAGCGAGAAATAAACCTAGGAAACTGATACCATGTATGAGATTATGATTGCACGATGTATTGCTCTTCGTGCATAGGCACGTATATATGATGTACAAAGGTAGGCCACGAACCTCAACTATACAACAAACTAGGAGGCGGGCTCAATACACAATATGCACATACTACCTCCGTCTAGGTGAATAAGTCATTCGCGTAGTTCTAGGTCATCGATTTGAGAAATTAAATATGTGTTATATGTCATGAAAAGTATATCACTGAATTTCTACACGGATGTAGTTTCTAAATATATATTTTTTGTCACATATAATACATATTTAAATAATTAAATCGTCGACCTAGAACTACGCGAATGACTTATTCACCGAAACGGAGGTAGTACCATATATACTCAACCGTTTTGCCTGCAATAAGTGTTCGAATTGTGGAAGCGTCACAGGTTCCCGCTCCTGCCAATATTCGTTAAGTTTATGGACTCTAGTGGCGCTTGTACATAAATTGAAAAGAGAGGATGGTTGAAGAAGCTTTGACCTTAATGGCTTGTCTTTTTTTTTTTGTGGGTAGACCTTAATGGCTTGTCCACAGCGAAGCTTCATACGGTACATTTGTATGCCGCCCGCTGCATATATTGGAACCGAGTAATGACTACAATCTGGAAAGATCTTATAAGTCTCCATTCTATGGTTTAAATCTGGACCGTTCGTTTTACACTAATTTGATCAATACTATAAGTATCAAATATTTATTGATAGATAAGCAAGCAATAAATGTTAATTAATAGTAGCCATTTTTTATTGTTCTGCCAAGGTCCTTCGGAATTCATTGATATATATCTGTGCTTATTGTTCTAGATGACAATCTTCTATATATACCATCCACCTACAGTTTGATAGATCAATCTCAACACAGATAACATCTCAGAAACCCAAGAAAAGTCGTAGCAGCAAAACCATGAGGCCATCCCAAGCTCTCTCGCTTCTCACACTCCTCATGCTTCTTGCCTCGTCCACTGCTTCCGTCCTACAAGACACGTGCAAGCGCTTCGGCGGCGCTAACACCTACGACATCTGCATCGAGTTCTTCAAGGCCAACAGGGATAGCGCCACTGCGGACAAGCGCGGGCTCGCCATCATCGCCACTGGGATCGCCAGTGCAACGGCCATGGACACCCGCAAGCGCATCACCACCCTGAAGGCCGGGGAAAAGGATCAGATGATCCAGCAGGTCATCGCCTACTGCGACAATATGTACTCCGGGGCCGTGGGCCTGTTCGACAAGGCTGCCAAGGGCATCTCGTCGGGCAACTTGGGAGACGCGGTGACAAGCCTCAGCTCCGCGCTGGACATCCCCCAATATTGCGATGACGAGTTCCTCAAGGCAGGCGTGAAATCTCCGTTCGACGCCGAGAACTTCGAGTTTGGTGTGCAGTGCGCAATCACTCTAGATGTAACGAAGTTGTTGACGCTGTAGTTAGCTAGCCACCGAGGATATGAATTTGTGTAACTACATCAGGAGTCTATAGTCATTTCGATGAGAAAACTCCTCGAAATTAATAAGCCCACAATGTTATCACTCAACTATGAAAGACGTGTTGGCACATATTTCTTTTATGTGGATTTGTTTTTGTGCTGATTTTAAAAAGACAACAGTGGCAGGGATACCCTCCCCTCCCGCACCGTGTCGGAGCGACGCCGGAGGTTGACGGGAGAGGAGATTAACCTTGTTGGCGGCAGGAATATTTTGGGAGGAGAGAAGGCAACACAAAACGCTAAAACCACATGTACTACTATTACTAGTTTTTTTTACATCAACTACTATTACTAGTTAATTGCCCGGGCATTGCAATGGGCATGCGTATTATATTGTTCCAACACAAATTATTACACCGCCAACGAAGGAGGAGTCGAGAAAGCTCCATAAGGACTCCCTTATAAAAATTATCCCCTAACAATTGCTTTTAACTCCAATGATACCATATATTGTAATCTCATGTATCCTAATAATTTTATGAAACTGCCAAATTCATACGTTCACCATTGTAATACCATGAATTTTCAGTTAAATGATCAAATTATTACCCTGATAGAGAAATAACACATGAAACAAACAACCAAAAAATATTTTAAATGTTTTTATATGTTCTGTAACACATGAAACACTAGAAATTCAATTTGGCTCCCGGTAGCACGTGCTCCGGGCACAAAAATAATTTCTGAAATGTAAAATCAAGACAAAATTTGTATGTGTTCTTAGTCACATCCAAATGCTACCTGCAAATTTTGAGGCAAAAAGGTTAAGCATTTTGGCCTGTGCAAAAAAAACAAATTGAACACCAAATGTCACCCCAAATTTGTTTAATTCACGGAAAAAACATTGCTGCTCCATTTTGCATGAAAATTGTCAAGCATGCTTGCAACACTAACATGAACATCTACAAAAAAAATTCAGAATTTTTTGGAAACATTTGCTATTTTTTCACGTTACTGTTCACACGGGAACATTTGCTACTGGGAGCCACCCCCCCACCCCACCCACCCACCCACACACACACATGAAACACAAGAATATTTTGGGAAGAGAGAAGACAACACATAACGCTAAAAAAATATACCCGAATACCATATCGCAGTCATTGAATTCGATTGAAAGCATGCACACGTCTCACAAACTCTAAGTAGTTTCGTTTTATTCCCAGGAAATAACTGGTCCCATAAACCATATCAGATATAATTGCAATCTCATCCATCATGGCTTTTTTGCTTTCCTCTTCCTATACTATTCAAATTCATTTGAACCCAACCAGTATTTCTTTTGTCCCTAAAGAATCTGAAACCAGTTTTTTCAACTAGAGAATTTCCTTTCAGTGTACATGAAATTTGTGTTAACCTAGCATATAATCTGGTTAAACTATGTAAAAATAATTATATTACTTATTTTGTTTCTAACACAACAATTTGTGCTTCTGTCAACAAGCGAATATGCTTCCAATGCAAAAAATAAATAAATTCCAATAACTTGAGAAGTGTTCGTTGTTTGGGTTTGTCTAACGCACATTTAGATGTGGTATAATTATTGCACATCTAAGTGACTGGATCAAACATAAAAAGGAAAAGAAAAGAGAAAAGAAAAGAAAATACCAGATCAAATCTACACGTAAAATCAGTGGTAGAGGACTTAGATGTGCAATATTTAGGGTACCTATAGATCTGCTTTATCAAATTGTTGTTTTTTCCAGAGTGTTGTCAACTTCCCTGTCCCTGATATTGGATAGAGTGTTTCAAGATTTGTGATTTTTTTTTGCATGAGCTGAGCGGTTGTTGTTCGGTTTTGTTGTTTGGGCTCGTTTAGTGACATGTCAAGGGTTGTGCGTGGGGTTATATCATGCTTGTCATGAGACATAGCCCCGCCTACCCTCTGACGCACTACTAAACGGTCCAGTCAAACATTATAGCTCCCTGGAGCGGTTTTGGGGAAGTTCACTGTATCCGTTTGGACCACTTTTAAAACCTTCCATGTTGTTAATTTGCTTCTTTTGTTTTTACATGTATTTTTTCTTTGTTTTTTTAAATACATGTCGACTTTTTTCAATACACATTGTAACTTTTTTTGTATACGCACATAACATTTTATGAATACATGTGAATACTTTTTAATACAAGCTTGAACAATTTTTTCTAATAAATGCCCCAAAAAATCAAATGCACTTGAATTTTATTGGAATGGTAAGAAACATTTTTAATAAATTATGCATACATTTTTTACATTATATAATTATTTTCAAACTGTGATGCACTTTTGCTAAAAACACATGAACACTGTTTTAAATTTCATGAACAATTTTTTTGATGGTACAAAATATATTTCTAAAATTACAGGGATATTTTTCTTGCATTATAAAAATATTTTTACAAAATATCACAAATATATTATTTGAAAAATGTGAACTACTTTTTCATATGTCCCGAACACTTTTTTGAATGGTATGAAACATTTTTCCAAAATTACGTGATCACTCTCTATACATTATATTAACCTTTTTCTAAATGTCTCAAACATTTTTTGAAAGACATGGCCATTTTAAAAATATCGCAAATAGTTTTTTTGAATGGTAAAAACATTTTTTAAATTGCGCAAAAAATTGTCTATGCTGTATGAATTTTAAAAATGTGTGATGAGCACATCTAAAGCTTAATTAAATTAGTTTTAAAAATATATGTGTCTGGAATATTTCGTAATATAAACAAAGTAAAAAATAAATAAAAAGAAACAAATGAAAGAACAACAAAGCGCTGCCCATGGTGTGGTGGGCTTTTCTTCACCGGAGTGTGGTGGGCTTTTCTTCACCGGAGTGTGGTGGGCTTTCTTCGGTTGGTTGGGGTTGTATCGCATGAGTTTTTCTTCTTGTTTTTCTCAATCGTGAGCTCTTTTGAAGCTCAAAAAAAGTCTTTATTTATTTTTTTTTACTTTTTGCGTAATTGTTCTATTTTGTGAAAATAATCCAGGAAAGATTTGAATCTATTGCAAAGGTTCAAATAAACTACAAAGATCCTAAAAGATAATAAAAAATACATCGATGACTCTGCACCATCGAACGGTCACTACTGCTGCCAGGAGGAGCCATGCCGGTGTCGCCTCTCCCCTACCGGGCAGCTTGACCTTGTCAATAAAAACTTAGTCTTCATGCACGTGCCCCTATGGACCAGTGTTCCAGAGCCGCACTGAAATCGATCCCTTGAATCGATCTAAAGCACCTCACACCAAATCTCCTCATCGTGCACGCACAATGAGAAATCCTAACCTTGTTACCCCGAGGAGACAACATGAATCTACACCGGAGCTCTCCCAACTGTATCTGAATAGGCAAACTCAAGGAGGATCGAAGACTGGAAGAACTCGAAGATCGAGGCATGGAAGACCAACTGGAGGACTTGAATATATTTTTGGTGGGCATGGAATTTCTATTAATCTATACGAATATAAAAAAGAGTGAGTTATGGGCAGGTATCCAACAAATCTCACTTGTTCAACAACATCTTTCCAACGGTCTCCGTTGCTCAGATGTTTACCATTAAATATGTCTAGAACTCAACATGTTTGGTACCCACCACTAATTAATATCATGTCTAATATCATCGCTAGAACTAGCCAAGTAATTATATCCTACATAATATTAACATGCAATCCATATCTTGCCTAATATCAATGTGCAATACAATTAATATCATGCTTAATATTAACGTGCATTGCACTTACGCAATTACTAATCTAACACAAAATATGATTAAATAGTCTAAACTTAATTAAATTAATCATTTTTTGTTTCTAACACAATCATACGTGCTTCTATCAATGGTGTTTTTTCCCAACGTAACTAAAATGTTTCCAATGACTTGAAAAATGTAATTTTATTTATTTTTCTAATTTTTTTAGTGATGGCTCACTCAACTTCCTTGTCGTTGGATGTAATGCTTCAAGATATGTGCCTTTTTTCACATGGGCTAAGCTGTTATTGTTCTATTTTGTTGTCTAGGTTGAAGGAGTGATCCACCCAGGGTTGTGCGTGGGGCTATATCGCATATTACAATACACTATATTACTCGTTCCGCCAAATGGCACAGTCCCATTTATAACCATTGTGCTTTGATATAAAATGCATTTGTTATTAGATAGTCTTGGGCAATCACGTCTGGCAACATTTCTAACCCATTCCTATAAAGAAAGAAGAGAGGTCATTGTTTATAAATACATGTAGTTTTAAAATTATGTGTGATTCCCAAATTTATGAATTTGGTGGTAGTCTTAGGTTTGACTAACCACGTATGGTAAAAACTTTAGCTCCTTCGTTATAAATAAAACAAAGGAGGATTGTGTTTGAAATTATATGCACCATTTTATTATTGTGGCATCAAAGAAGATAAAATTAACATTCTCTAGTCATTAGTTATACTTGCTATTGAAACCCATCTATATTGCAAACCAGGCTCATTTGTTTACGATTTTTATTCCAACCAATTCGGCCCATCAATCGCCAATTGGGCTCGACCCGTTTGGAGTAGAATATGAAGATGCGGGGATACATAGCAACTCAACTTCATTCCCTCTGTTCTTTCCTTGGCTGTTCGGTGAAGAGAGGTCATCAGAAATATCAAGTTTAAATCTTCCTATGTTACTGCACTATTTGTGAAGAATAATAAAAGTTCATAGTTTGTGAAAAAGGGCACGATTAATTTGAGGAATTTTTTTGCAAGTGGTGCTTATGGTGGGTGACGGGGCATGTAGGGAAAATATCTGGTGCACCAGAGCTTGTGGTGCTACCGGCGCACCGAACTCGCATTGTGCTTTCAAAATGTTTTAAAAAATTGGAAAAAAAATCAGCACACTCACACAACACCAATGTAGGTTGTCACAAAATTTCAAGTCAAAATTCAAAACATAACTCAACAAACAAAAAATGACAAATTCAACACTAAATAGTACGTAATATAACTTGGGGTTTAGATTTGGCCCATTATCACACTGGTGTCAAATTTATCATTTTTGTATCTCAAAAAATATTTCAAATTTGTATACGAAATTTTGTGACATCATACATTGATGCAGCGTTAACGTGCTAGATGTTTTTCCAATTTTTTAAAACATTCTATGGCATCCGGTGCACCGGTAGCACCACAAGTGTGGATGCACCAGATACATTCCCGGGGCATGTAAAGCCACCTCCTTTATTCCCAAATATAAGGTGTATTAGTTTTCATAAAAGTCGAACTTTGATATGTCTGGTCAACTTTATAAAACAAATCTACAATACCAATTAAATAAAATATGAAAACATATTTCAAGATGAATATGATGATCTTGGCTTGGTATTGTGGATACCGATATTTTCTTCATAAACTTGCTCAAAGATAAAGAAGTTTGACTTCTCAAAAATTAATACACGTTATATTTTAAAACCGGAGGGAGTATATCATACTGCACAATCACCTACACATTAGCTGGCATGGGCCGGTCCAGTAGCACGTGGCTCCATCGTGTTTGAATCGGGCGGTTTTCTATAGTTTTCTTTTACCTTTTCCCGACAATCCTGATTCTTTACTGTTAGTGTTTGGTTCTTGATGGTTTTCCCTGCTTTATTTTTTCTATTTTTGTTTTGCGTTTATTTTTATTTTTTATTCTACTGTTACAAGCTATGATACGAAGCATTGTACCTCTAATACTATCAATCTTGAATAATGTTTGAACAAAGCTATGTATCGTTGTCAAAAAAAAAACATAAACGCTTTGCTCGCTATAGGACTTCCCAGGTACTACGTGTTTGCACATATGAGCTGAGTACGAAGACATCTGTCTCTGATAATTCGGACCGAGCCGTAGCACATGGCAAAATTGTTCGCAGATATGACAGGTGGGTTCAAACAGGAAAAATGGAGTATTTTGTCTAACAAACAATCAAAGGTATGCCATTTTAGCAAAAAAAAAGAAAATTATGATTTATAAAGCAAAGGCGAGGAAATTTTGCTTTTTCTGTCATATTCCTCTTGTTTTCATGTGCAAAACCGGAGTTCAGAAGCACCAGTACACTACACCGTAACTTCCAGACCAGAGCTCGCGGCCACAATATGGTCCATATGGACAGTCGACGAAGGCTGACAAACTTTAGTTGGTCCTTAACCGATCGATTTGCTTCTTATCCTTAGATAAAACAATTTTTTTTTTTAAAAAAGAGGGCTCGCCTCAACCTCTGTATCAAAACGATGCATACGGTCATAATTATTAATAAGTAAAAAGTCTAACATAAGTCTCCTAGTCTCGAACATTGGACAAAACTATTATCATCTGCATGTTCTGTTTCGGCCCTCGTAGCAGGCTACTAGATTTTGATTCCACCTATCGAAAGAGACTTGCTACAAGTTACACGTACATTTACACATTTCAAGATTCTCTAGCGTTAACACATTTCAAGATTACACGTACATTTTTCGAATATGCGCAAACACATTATTTTAATCATTTGAATATTTTTAGAAATGCATGAACCATTGGGAAATATGCACACTTTTTAAAATAAAAAATGCTTTAAAATACATGAATGTATTTTATATTATAGTATTAACATTTTAAAAAAGTGAACACCTTTTAATCAAGTTACTGTTTTTGAAAAAAGATTGAACACTTACTGGACAGGGGCAAAAACAACTAGTCCGGCAAGGATCATCGTCTGCACATGCTGCTTTAGCACTCGTGTCGGGCTACTAGATTTTGATTCCACCTATAGAAATAGAAAGAGACTCGTAACTTACTATGATTGTTCTGAAAAATAAAAAATTTAGGTAGAACTGTCGATCCCTCCACTATATAAGTAGCAGCTTCAGTCTCCTGCAACTGCAAGAAGAAAACGAGAAGGAAAATGGCGGGCACAAGAGCAGCAGTGATGAAGCTGGCGGTCGTCCTCCTGGCTATGAGCCAGCTCGTCCACATGGCGACGCCAACGGCGGATCCGACGACTGCATCGTCTCTGCTGGTTACCAGCGTTTACCCTTATGGTCAGTCTTAGTCATCTTCTCAAGTTGATACTACTAGTAATTATCTTGGTTGATTAGCTAGCTATTGATAAGAGGTGCAAGAAACTGAGATAGTTAATTTTTGTCTTGACCAGGGGGAGTCATTTCTAAACCCAGCCCTGGCATCAGGGCAGAGAAGGTGCTGCTGGATGCGGCCAAGCCAAGCATCCCTGTCCCTCCGCCTCCTCCCCACCTCATCCTACCGTGCAAGGGAAGAACCTGCTAAGTGCTAACCTCACCTCATGTGGAGCACCAAGTGAAGTGCAGCTGGAGCTCGAAGTGACGAAGGCAATAAAAATGTCCCTAGCTTCCTCTGTATTGTCCTCGATCGTTATGATCGACTGATGGAATAAAATAAGAGCACTCTTTTTTATATTTCGTTCGCCTGCAACAAGTGTTCAAATTGTGGATTTGAAACTACTAAACCAGTTTCCAGACCTGCGAAAAATTACTTGTCAAGTTTATGAACTCTAGTAGTAGTGTGGGACTTCTACATAAGTTGAAAAGGGAGATACATGGTCGAAGAAGCTTTTGTCAGCCCAACTGAAGCTGTGTCGTGCAAGAAACAGAGGAGAAATCGTATGCCAATACTAGTGCGCAGTGCCAACCGTCGAGCAGGTAGCGTGCCTTCAGCAAACGGCAACGCGGCCTGCGGCCTGCCTGCCTGACAACCGGAGACAGAACGGAGGTTCGTCCGGACCTGGAATGGAAAGGTCAAGCGGTTGCTCTGTTCCACTGCTAGACTGCATGGGGAGGACCAGAGAAGCAGAGTAAACAAATCAGGCAGAGACAGCCTGCGGGTGGTCTTCTGATCGAAGCCGTCGTCGAGAAAATTGCACAAACCATCAAATATTTGGGGTCAAATTTGCACAGAACATGTAATAATCTGTTGTAGCTAGGTCTAATACATAATTTGATTCTGTCCACATGGTCTCTAACACATGGATCCTGCTTGTGTACATGTGGCAAAAAAAAAACATGCAAAGTTAGTCGGCATGGACCGAAAACAAGTCTAATATCTCTCAAAACTACGCTCAAAATGAGTCACCAAATCAAAACTTGGTTCACATATTATTTGATGGCTTTTTCTGTTTTTCTTGAAAACATTGAATACTGAACAAAAATCAATTGTGTCAGCAAACTGCCAATATCTCTAAAACACGTGAAAGTAAGCTAAATAGTTATCAAATCAGTACTAGATATATGTATGATTTCCTGGTTTTTGGATTTGTTTTAAATGTTAAGTTTAAAATAAGTTGTAACGGGCGACTAAAATTGCGGATATTAGCAGTTTTTCTTGGCCCGCTAATGCCATATGGTTTTTCTTTATTACGTCTGCCCTTACAAACAGAGTCCACTAATTAGGAATCATGTTAAAATAGTCAAATGATGCATTGGAGCTTACTGCAACAGATTACACCAATGGGTGATGTTTTGTGCAACAAACCTGGACGATAGGTGTTCTACACAAAATCAACTACAATAGTTTGTGATTCGTGCAATTTCCTAGGTTGTCGTCTCCTTCCTTGTGACCCTCTAAGCTCCATCCATCAACTGTTCGTGAGAGAGGGAAATTTCACCTTTCTCCCCAGCTTCCCGTGCGACTCCTCTCTTTTCCTGCATGTCAATTAACGACGGCCGTCCATGTGACAAATGCTCGTGGCCATTTCTCGCCTGGTTTTCCCCAAATTTTTCTTCTACTATTATGCGCCTGTTTTTCCGCCCCCTATCACACACGGTTATAAAAAGGACATCGTCATGTCTTCTGTAGCTAATATCCCACCGGCCACAACATCCACTTCCCTCACTTCCGTCCACAACCTCTACTTCCTCCATGCGGCCCATAGCTTACACCTCCCCCAACGGCCTTACTAGGTGCCGCTCTTGAAGGAGAAGAGGCGCCGCCCTCGTCGGCGATTTAGAGGAGTGAGATTGTTGTTGTTGTTGTTGTTGTTGTTGTTGTTCAAAAGTATAGTATGCATTAGGTGGGACATTCACTAAAAACAGTGGATGTCAGATGCCTAACATAGTTTCGAGAATCGCTGTCGCCAGAATCGGCACCTCGCCTCCCAAATTATCGTCATCATGGTTTTCCTCACACCATCGTCGTGCTCATGGTTGTCCTTGTCCCCGCCACGTCCATGACCGACGGGGTCGAGCTCATTCGCTGCCGCTTGTTGATGATGAAGCGAAGTAGAAGTTCAGAAATTTGAGAATTGGTATGTAGCCAGTGACACATGGATCACATATGTAAGAAAAATATGAAAGCTGAGATATAGTGACTCTTGATTTGCACTCGTTTGTCCAGCCTCCAAAAATATTGAACATGCTTCATACGCAATATAGCGATCGGCAACTTTGTCAGAGTTGCTCTAACTTCCAGTTCAGTGATGGCGGCCAATGCATATACGGACGGACACACAGAGTGATGTAGGTGAATTTAGGGGCCTTGGCATGGTCCCTTTGGTGTATTAGAAATAAGCTTGTCATTGAGCACGTATACCGGTCATGGCCACTGGTGCTATTTATAAATTGTGTGGGTTCTTGCAGTTATGGAAACCACTCTATAGTCGTCGGGATAGATCAGCGGTCGGCGAGCTGACCAGAAAGTACAAGGAGTTGGTGTCGTGTCTCCTCATGGTCACCTATCCCCCTTGAGGATTGTATCTTTTATTTTGGGCGTGTTGTGTTGTTGCCCACATCGTGAGCTTCTCTCTCTTTTGTATCATGACTTCTTTTAGACTTTCGTTTATGGTTGGACTTGTATCATGGTTGTTGCTTTATCAATAAAGTGGGGCAAGGAGCCTTTTACGAGAAAAAACAATATGAAAACGTTACACGATCAGACAAAACCTAAGAACAAATCGATGTGTTTCTTGTCCTCGGACAAAACAAATGTTTTTTGACAGCAATATGACTTTATTCTTCATATATAAAGTGACAAATTGTTTACATGCAGATGATAAATAAAATGACACATCCCAAAAGCCGGAGGATCTACTTTTGTCCTTTTGCATTTACATTTTTTGTTTATTTTTGTTTTGCATTTTTATGCTATTTTTTGGCAAGAAAAGAACTGTTGATATTTAGCACAGGGTTCTTACAGAAAGGTCCTGAGACAAGAAAAAATTACATTGAAGCCCCCAGCACCCCGTTGACGAAGACGACGACAAAGACGTATAGCCGGCGCGCCGTCGCTGCTGCTCCACACAAGCCTTGGATTTGTTGTTGCTGTTGTTGTTGTTGTTGTTGTTGTTGTTGTTGCCCCATCCTCCCGCTGCCGGAGCAGCTGCCAGAGGGTGAGGAACCCGCCGATTTTGCGGCGGCGAGGTGGATCGCCCGGCGTCACCCAAAAGTCGCCCTTTCTCTACATGGACGGGGAAAGGGTAAGGCTCCAAGGTACATTTTTATGCTATTGTTCTTTAGAAAAAATAATAGTTCCTTTTTACGAATTTAAAAATATATTTTAAATGCATGAACACTTTTAAAAAATATGTGAAAACTTTAGGGAATGCGTGAGAACATTTCAAGATTACACCTACACCTTTTGAATATGTGAAACACTTTTGCTTTAATTATTTAGATCTTTTAAAAAAATGCATGAATATATATTTTTAAACAATCTGAACATTTAAAAAAATGTGTACTCTTTTAAGATTAGACAGTACTTTAAAAAAATACATGAACACGTTTTCTATTATATGAACGTTCCTAAAACCAATTGAACACTTTTATTAAGCGTGAACACTTGCTTGAACAGGGGCAAAATAACTTGTGCGGCAAGGAGCATCCGCACATGCTGTTTTAGCACTCGCGTCGGGCTACTAGATTTTGATTCCACCTATCGAGAGAGACTCGGGTGTAGCCTTCTGAAGCATAGCTATGATTATTCTGGAAGAGAAAACAAATTAGGTGCGATTACCGATCCCTCCACTAGTATAAGTAGCGGCGCCTCTGTCGCCTGCAAGTTGCAAGAACCAACCGAGAAGGAAAATGGCGGGCACAAGAGCAGCAGCGATGAAGCTGGCGGTCGTCCTCCTGGCCATGAGCCAGCTCGTCCACATGGCGACCCCGACGGCGGATCCAATGACTACTGCGTCATCGTCTCTACTGGTTACGAGCGTCTCCGGCCCTTCCGACGGTCAGTCATCTCCTTATAAGTAGATACTACATTACTTAGCTTGGTTAATTAGCTGCTATTGATAAGAGGTGCAAGAAACTTAATCTTCATCTTGGCCAGGGGAACATAAACCCAGCCATGGCATCAGGGAAGAGAAGGTGTTGCTCAACGCGCCCAACATCCCTGCAGTTCCGCCCCCTCCCCACCTCGTCCTACCGTGCAAGGGAAGAGCGTGTTGACCTCACGGGGAGGATGACGAGATCAAATGCACGCAGATGGACTCAAGTGTGCCAAGACAATAAAAAGCCACGTTGTTCTACATAAGTCGTGTACTCCATGTTTACGATCGACCGATGGAATAAATAAACGGAACCTTGTTTTGGAACAAGTTTTAATATGTGTGCAAATATGTAGATGACATGAAGTAACTCATATATTGCCTCGCCTGGAAAAGGTGGTCAAAGTGTGGAAGTGAAAGTACCTCACAAATTTCTGGACCTGCCAAATTACTTGTCAAGTTTATGAGCTCGAATAAACATTATATTCCAAAAAATGGCAATAAAAAATAATTTTGAACTTTTTTGGCAAGAAACATAGATGTTTTTTCCACGCGCATGCAAAACTTCACGATGAAAATCACATTCGTGGAGGTGTAAGCTAAACACACGAAAGGGTTCAAATAAAGTAATGAGCATGGTAAAGGCACAAATACGAACTGCTATGGAGTAGCCACATATAGTCAACAAAATCATTTTGGAGCTACGTATGAACTTCTCGGTTCTGATGCTTTGATGCGCTACGAGGAACCTCTGTATCCTATCTGCATCGTGCTCCGGCTCAACAGGATTCCCATTGAAGGTGGATCTCTCATGTTATGTAACATGATGCAACATGTACTATTATTTACCATAGAACCTTGGGATTCCAGTACTCGACACGGCCCCAAATAATGATAAAGCGCTTCTAAAGCACACCAAAAGCTCTTTCCACATTCTCTTCACGCATTGCAAAGTGAGATCTCTTGTTCCCTTTGATGACGATGGATTATTCTGACAAATGTAGCCATAGAGGATATTTGTCATCTACAAGGTAATGACCCCATCATGTACTGACAAACATTGATAACAAGTTGCAAGGAGGAGCATCTGCAAGGTATGCTAATTTTCTTTAGAGCATCTACGGCCAGACTTCGCAAATCAGGTCCCTCAAACACCCGCGGACGCGCCCGGACACGTCCACGGACACTGACCGGTCACATCTTAGTTTTTTCCTCTCACAACCGAACGTCTCAATTAGCATACCTCAAATCCATACAAAGTCATGCAACATAAACGTGTCCCATGCAATACACATCGTCCGGCTACTACATCTAAACATGCCATCAAACTACCAAGATTGGCATTTTCTACCTACACACTAGCTATGGAGAAGATCATCAATAGCTACCCTTGCTGACGCCCTTGTCGTCCTTCTCGCGGAAGTAGCTGTCAAAAACACAGTATGGATCAAGCCAAATTTGCTCTTAGCCGGAGCTGTCTAACCCATCTGTCCCTCCTTCTCCTCCTTGGCGTGCAGTCTGACCATGGCATAGACAGTCGATTCTGCTCTAGGACGAGGGCGTGTGTGTTCCTCTGCTGCCGCTTCTTTAAGATGCGGATGTGGATGGCTTCCTCCTCAGCGGCAGCGCGCGCTATCGCATCCGCCGCATCTATTGTCGCCATGTTGACAACGAGAGTGTCGGTCAGAATCTGGGATGGATATGAGGGGCCATCCCGTATCCACCCCATATTTTGGATGGATATGAGGGGCGTTGGCCATTCCGGGTGTTTGAGACCGATTTAAGGTGTATGTTTTTTTTTGTCAATCAGTGACTGAGCCGTCCGTCCAAACGTTTGAGGTAGATTTGACGTGTGCAATGTGTAAATGCTTTTACATGAGAAAAAGTAGTGCTTGGCCATGTACCCTCTTTTGGCCTTTGCACCGCTTAGAGCATTACTAGTAGTACCCCTAAACCCTCAAACCCTAAAAAATAACCGCTTTTTTCCGGGTTGCAACAAAAAAACGCAAAGACTAGAACCCCTAAACTCTCAAACCCTCAAAAAAAAGTAAGGGTCCTGTGGGGGATCATAGCAGAATTTTTAAATTTTCTACGCATCACCAAGATCAATCTATGGAGTAATCTAGCAACGAGGGAAGGAGAGTGCATCTACATACCCTTGTAGATCGTTAAGCGGAAGCGTTCAAGTGAACGGGGTTGATGGAGTCGTACTCGTCGTGATCCAAATCACTGATGATCCTAGTGCCAAACGGACGGCACCTCCGTGTTCAACACACGTACAGCCCGGTGACATCTCCTACACCTTGATCCAGCAAGGGGAGAAGGAGAGGTTGGGGAAGACTCCATCCAGCAGCAGCACGACGGCGTGGTGGTGGTGGAGGAGCGCGGAACTCCAGCAGGGCTTCGCCAAGCACTACGAGAGACGAGGAGGGAGAGGGGTAGGGTTGCGCCAACAGGGAGGAACTTCATGTGTGTTGGGCTGCCCCTTTGCCTCCACTATATATAGGGGGAGAGGGAGGGCTGCGCCCCCACCTAGGGTTTCCATCCTAGGGGTGGCGGCAGCCCCAATCCCATCTGGGGTGGCGGCCAAGTGGAGGGGGAGAGGGAGGCGCACCAGGCATGGGCCTTAGGGCCCATCTGCCCGTAGGGTTTCCCCCTCTCCTCTCTAGGCGCATGGGCCTTGGTGGGGAGGCGCCCCAGCCCACCTAGGGGCTGGTCCCTTCTCACACTTGGCCCATGTATGCCTCCGGGGCCCGTGGCCCCTCCCGGTGGACCCCCGGACCCCTCCGGTGGTCCCGGTACACTACCGGTGATGCCCGGAACACTTCCGGTGGCCAAAACCATACTTCCTATATATCAATCTTTACCTCCGGACTATTCCGGAACTCCTTGTGACGTCCGGGATCTCATCCGGGACTCCGAACAACATTCGGTAACTGCGTACATCCTTTCCCTATAACCCTAGCGTCATCGAACCTTAAGTGTGTAGACCCTACAGATTCGGGAGTCATGCAGACATGGCCGAGACAACTCTCCGGTCAATAACCAACAGCGGGATCTGGATACCCATGTTGGCTCCCACATGCTCCACGATGATCTCATTGGATGAACCACGATGTCAAGGACTTAATCAATCACGTATACAATTCCCTTTGTCTAGCGGTACGATACTTGCCCGAGATTCGATCGTCGGTATCCCGATACCTTGTTCAATCTCGTTACCGGCAAGTCTCTTTACTAGTTCTGTAATACATCATCCCGTGATCAACTCCTTGATCACATTGTGCACATTATGATGATGTCCTACCGAGTGGGCCCAGAGATACCTCTCCGTTTACACGGAGTGACAAATCCCAGTCTCGATTCGTGCCAACCCAACAGACACTTTCGAAAATACCTGTAGTGTACCTTTATAGCCACCCAGTTACGTTGTGATGTTTGGCACACCCAAAGCACTCCTGCGGTATCCTGGAGTTGCACAATCTCATGGTCTAAGGAAATGATACTTGACATTAGAAAAGCTTTAGCATACGAACTACACGATCTTTGTGCTAGGCTTAGGATTGGGTCTTGTCCATCACATCATTCTCCTAATGATGTGATCCCGTTATCAATGACATCCAACGTCCATGGTCAGGAAACCGTAACCATCTATTGATCAACGAGCTAGTCAACTAGAGGCTTACTAGGGACATGGTGTTGTCTATGTATCCACACATGTATCTGAGTTTCCTATCAATACAATTCTAGCATGGATAATAAACGATTATCATGAACAATGAAATATAATAATAACCAATTTATTATTGCCTCTAGGGCATATTTCCAACAGTCTCCCACTTGCACTAGAGTCAATAATCTAGTTCACATCGCCATGTGATTAACACTCACAGGTCACATCGCCATGTGACCAACATCCAAGAGTCTACTAGACTCAATGATCTAGTTCACATCACTATGTGATAAACACTCAAAGAGTTCTGGGTTTGATCATGTTATGCTTGTGAGAGAGGTTGTAGTCAACGAATCTTTCCATATTCAGATCCCTATGTATTTTGCAAAACTTTATATCGTAGATGCTGCTACCACGTTCCACTTGGAGTTATTCCAAATTATTGCTCCATTATACGTATCCGGTATCTCTACTTAGAGCTATCTGGATAGGTGTTAAGCTTGCATCGACGTAATTCTTTATGTCGAACTCTTTATCACCTCCATAACCGAGAAACATTTCCTTATTCCTCTAAGGATAATTTTGACCGCTATCTGGTGATCTACTCCTAGATCACCTTTGTACCCTCTTGCCAGACATGTGGCAAGGCACACATCTGGTGCGGTACTCAGCATGGCATACCGTATAGAGCCTATGACAAAAGCATAGGGGATGACCTTTCGTCCTTCCTCTTTCTTCTGCCGTGGTCAATCTTCAAGTCTTACTCAACTTCACACCTTACAACTCAGGTGAGAACCCCTTCCTTGACTGATCTATTTTGAACTCCTTCAAAAACATGTCAAGGTGTGCGTTCTTTGAAAGTATCATCAGGCGTCTTGATCTATTTCTATAGATCTTGATGCCCAATACGTAAGCAGCTTTATCCAGGTCTTCCTTTGAAAAACACTCTTCAAACAACCGTTTATGCTTTCCAGAAATTCTACATTATTTTGGATCAACAATATGTCATCCACATATAGTTATCAGAAATGTTGTAGTGCTCCCACTCACTTTCTTGTAAATACAAGTTTCTAGCAAACATTGTATAAACTTAAAAGATTTGATCACTCCATCAAAACATATATTCCGATTCCGAGATGCTTGCTCTAGTCCATAGAAGGATTGCTGGAGCCAGCATACCTTTTAGCATCCTTAGGATCGACAAAACCTTTTATTGTATCACATACAACTTTTCTTACGAAAACTGGTAAGAAAACTTGTTTTGACATCCATCTGTAAGATTTCATAATCGAAAAATACAGCTAATGCTAACATGATTCCGACGGACTTAAGCATCGCTACGGTGAGAAATTCTCATCGTAGTCGACTCCTTGAACTTGTGAAAAGACTCTTTCCCACAAGTCGAGCTTCATAGACGGTAACATTACCGCCCACGTCCGTCTTCTTCTTAAAGATCCATTTATCTCAATGCCTTGCCGATCATCGGGCAAGTCCACCAAAGTCCATAC